AAAAGTTTGACAGGGAACTTGATATACATAGTCTCATAGCATCTGTTTACAAAATGCTTGTTGATTACAAGGGAAGAAGGGCAATTTTATCACGGAGATGCCTGGCAGGCATAACCTAAATCAAAACATCAAAGTTTACATGACCAATAAGGGGACAGATCGAAATCATATGCCACCTGATAGAATGCAATGTGACATCCTTGCCAAAATATAAAATCTGAATTTAATCATTAGGAAATATCAGACAAACTCACCCTGAGGAACATTCTACAGAGTAACTGGCCTGTAATCTTTAAAAATATAAAGGGCATGAAAGTCAAGGGGGAAAAACTGTTCCAGATAGAGAATGAAGAGGCGTCACAACTAAATAGGACACATGATTCTGGATCGGAGCCTTTTGCTGTAAAGAATGTCAGTGGGACAATTGGCAAAATTTGGATGGAGTTGCACATTAGGTGGTATTAACATATCAATATTAGTTTTCTGGTTGCAGTGTTTGTGTTGTGGCTATGTAGGAGAATGTCCTTGTTTGCAGGGAATGTACACTAAATTATTTAGGGTGTTCCTTCCTCAGTGACCGAGATTGAGTATCTTTTCATATGATTACTAGACATACATATTAATTTTCATACAGAGTCCCTATTTACATTCTTTTTTCTATTGTTTTGGTTGTCTTTTTCTTATTGATTTTTAGGAGATGTTTGTAAATTAGCTTTATGCCAACTATATGCAATTGCAAATATCCCCACTTCAAGTATATAAATAAATGCACTGATCTTTTCTTCTAGAACATTAGAGGTTTTGTTTGTTCTGTCTGTACATTTTGTATCTCTGTTCTATCTGGAATTTATACTGGTGTATATAAAGAGATAAAGATCCAGCCATATATTTTTTCAAATGGTTAGTCAGTTGTCCCAACATCACCTAAAAAATAGCCTCTCTTTTCTTCACCTTTGAAAAGCAGACTTTATCACAATCTACAAATTTCCACATTATTTGGATTATGGACTCAGGTCTCTTCCTAACCGTTTCCTCTCCAGTTCCAAACTGTTTTCATTGTTAAAGTTAAATAATATGTTTTAATAGAGCAGTGTCCAATAGAACCTTTGAAACGTTCTCTGCTTTTCTATTCAGTATAGTAAGCCATTCATCACACGGAGTTTTTGAAATGTTGTTAGTTTGACTGAGAAGCAGAATTTTTTTGTTTTATTTATTTTTAATTAATGTATACTTCAAAAAGCCAGATGTGGCTTGTGGCCACCAAATTGGACAGCAGAGTTTTAATATTTTCTGCAGCCAGTCGCTATTCATTTACCTTCTTTCCAGAATCTGGCAGGCTATTCTCACATGTTTATGTTTCCTTATTTTTTTCTTCTCATAAGAAAGCTAGATTTTCTGACTGCCCATAAAAAGCCCCATTGAATCTATCGGACACTCCAAATGGACTTGTTACACTTCAAGTATTATATATTCAAGCCTTCCTTTAAGTCCTTCAATAGAGTTGTATAGCTTTCTTTATATAACTTTATACATCTCCTTTTCAATTCATTCATAGGTATTTTATCATTTTCTGTTTCATTATCTTTGTTTTGCTATTATAAATGACTTGCTTCCTTCCATTTCTTGTTACTGTACTTTCCCATCAATTATTATTTATTTTATTCTTTATACATACTGCAACTGTAGTATGTATATTTGCAATCTTACTGAATTCTCTTATTTATAATAGTTTTTTTAGGTGATTCACTTTATATTTTCTAGTTATTAGTCACAAAATCTACAAAATATGGCATAACTCTTCCTTCTAATATTTTTATTTATTTCTCTTGTTTAATGTCATTGCCTAAAATTTCGCTAATAATTTTAAATAGTTGTAGCAATGGTCAACATTCTTGTCTTGTTTTACATTTTACTAGGAATATTTTTAGTGTTTTACCATTAAGCCTAATGCTGACTTAAAAGTATTTATCAATCCTTATCCAAAAAGCTTTTAACATCAGAAATGAATGTCAGTGTTTTCAAAATGCCTCTTTTGATATCTCCTATATGACTTACCTAATTTGCCTCCTTTAACTTTTACTACTGTATATTCATTTGACCCCTTTATAAATTTTTTATGGGTCCACCTATATATTCAGGAAATAAATGCCACTTAGGTTGTGGTGTGTTTTTCTAATACATTACCATATCTCTTTACTAATTACTAAAATTGTGTAATGGAATAATTATCTAAGTTAAAGGTATTCTGTCAAGTTTTGGTCTCAGCGGTATGCTATGATCATTTAAAAGAAAAAATAATGGAAGCTTCTTCCTTTTAATAGAGTTGATGGGGAATAGTAATTCCATGGAAAGTTGAATTAATTCATTTCTAAACTCATCTAGGCATGGCATATTTTTAAAGGTCATTTATTGGGGCACCTCTGTAGCTCAGTCAGCTGAGCATCCAACTACGGCTCAGGTCATGATCTTGTGGTTAATGAGTTAGGCTCACTGCTGTCAGCCTGTCAGTGCAAAACCCACTTCGGATCCTCTGCATCCCTCCCACTTGCACTTTCCCAAAAACTAAAAATAAATAAATAAATAAATAAATAAATAAATAAATAAATAAATGTAATATATTAGTAGCTTTGGTAACATCATCCATTGCTATTAGTCTGTTTTCTGTCTCCTCTGGAGTCAATTTTAGTAGATCCACTTTCCTTGACTAAGTACTAATGCCATTAACCAAGTAATAAATTCAGAAAAAGAATGAGGAAATATGACGATCTTAGTTTTAGGTATGTTGAGTTTATGATGCTTATGGTACCCCAAGGTGGACACAAGCAAAATAGAATATATGTCTTAGAGATATTTATGAGAGACCTGGGCTGGAAAGACAACCACCTGCATGGTTGTGTTAGTAATGAGATCACAAAGAAATTAAGAAAAAATGGTCACTGGTAGGATCCTGGAGACCCCCAACATTTAACTGGAGACGAGAGAGCCAACTCCTATAAAAGTATACGGAACCAGTTTCCTGTCCACTTGCATTAAAGAAAAAGGACACTGGAGACAATGCGGAGACTAACGTTGGGAGCAGCAAAGAGGTATCCCTTCCCCAAGGGGAGAGAATGTGGGTGATAGCTGGAGGCGGGAGGACTTTCACATGGTCAAGGAGCCTGAAGCAGAAGAACTTGTACCAAAGCCTGATGGAGAACGGGGCAAAAGAGATTTGGCATCATCGGATTCATAGCACTGCCATCAAGAAAAAGGGGGGGGCGGAGAAAACTAAGAGGAACAAAGGCAAGATTTTTATGAGAAATATTTATAAATGCTCGGAAATTCAATGGAGAGCTGGGCTAGATGAGAAATACAAGAAGAAATGTAAAACATAAATTAGAGCCTGATGGCTTAAGAAAATCAAAGTTAAGTCTTACCGCTTCAAATACCCCTCCACAGGGGCACCTGGGTGGCTCATTCGGTTGAGCGTCTGACTCTGGGTTTCGGCTCAGGTCATGATCCCAGGGTCGTGGGACTGAGCTCCGCGTTGGGCTCTGCACTGAGGGCGGAGCCTGCTTAGGATTCTCTCTCTCCCCCCCTCTGCCTCTCTCCCCCACTTGTGCCCTCTCCATATAAAATAAAATAAAACAAATAAAACTAAAAAGTAAAGAACAAAGATCCCTCCATGAACAAACCCACCCACCCTCCACCATCCTCTGTGTATACACACAGACACGCACACACGTACACATACGTACAGTCACATACATACACACAAGCATACACTGTGCAGTGATAATATTGTAAGAATGTAAAACTCATGACTGGCAATGTTGCTATACTTTTCCTCCCTTTGCAGTCCAACTTATTTTAATTCTTTTTACTCTCAGGGCACCATCTTCCAAGAACAACACAACCTATTCTTTAAGGCTCTGCTGTTACTAACCAGCACTGGCACTTTACAGTATTTGATCTGCTTGCTTTCGACTTTCCTCATCTAATTAAATCCTTGAATAATCCATATAAAAACAATGATCATTTATATTTGCTGTATCTACAGAATTTTGTTCCCCATGAGGAGCTTTAAAAGACCCATTAGTACTCCACTAACATGCCTTTACAAACCTGAATCTTCCCAATTTTCACTCAAAACTTCCTCCAAGTCCTAATGGGACTAGGAGGGATGAGGGCACCTGTGCAACGGGGTAAACTCAGGCTAGCAGTGGAGGGTGAGCTAAGTGAGGGCTTAGCCTCCCTGCAGAATCTAGGGGTGCAGCTCTAGGGCTCTAGGTATAATCCCAGAAAGGCTCCAAATGGTGGCTCAGACTCAAGAAATCCACCCACCTACACCAGGAGTTCAGCCTGAAAAGAGAGGAGACAGGAGTGGGTCGGAGAGTGTGGGCAGGTCTAGGTGAATATCAGAGCCCCAACAAGAAGGACTGGGTGCAGGGAGAAGCCCAACCATAGAGCAAACCTGTGATCCAAAGCCCAGAACCATACAGCTCAGACAGGCGACACGCTGCCTGCCTATTCCTAGGGAATGCATATTTGCCCTTTCTTCGGCAACTATTTCATTCCTCCTTCTTTGTTAATAAATTAGCTTCTTGGGGCACCTGGGTGGCGTAGTCGGTTAAGCGTCCGACTTCAGCCAGGTCACGATCTCGCGGTCCGTGAGTTCGAGCTCCGCGTCGGGCTCTGGGCTGATGGCTCAGAGCCTGGAGCCTGTTTCCGATTCTGTGTCTCCCTCTCTCTCTGCCCCTCCCCCGTTCATGCTCTGTCTCTCTCTGTCCCAAAAATAAAATGAAACGTTGAAAAAAAAATTTAATAAATTAGCTTCTTATTTTCCTAAGAAAACAGAAGCATCGCGTGAGAACTAACACACCTTCCCAGCAAAACATATACCAACTTACCTACATCTGCACCCATATATCCAGCATCCCATCCTAATACAGACACAGTGCCCTGGTGCAGTTATCTAAAGTCAGCCCCTCAAGTCCTGAAACCCACCCTCTCCCACCTACCCAAGGACTTCATTTCTGTAATGATTCCACTCTCCAGTGCATGTTTAAAAAATTCCTTCCTACCCACATTCTCCATTTTCTTCATCACACCATTTCTCTGTTTTTCTCTTCAACAAAACTCCTCCAAAAGGCTGACCATGCTTCCTGTGTCATCTCTCCACACCCGCCCCACTTCATCATCACCCAGTCAATGGCTCTTTGTCCCCTCCATCACATTAAGATTTGTCTTGTTAAGTCCCTGAGACCCTCCATCTTGCCAACCCCAGTGTTCAGTGCTTTTTCCTCATCTTACTCAAATTCTCAATGACTGTAACCAGTCCAGCTGCTATGACACAGGCTCCCAGTGTCCCCTCTCTGCCAGCTCACTGGTTGCCCCCTACCCTGTGCTGGCTCCTCTGTCCCCTCTGTGCCAGCTCACTGGTTGCCCCCTACCCTGTGCTGGCTCCTGTGCTCCACAGGCCATGGGGGCTCCAGCTCAGGCCATCTCTCTTCTCCAGCTGCACCTTGCAACAACTCTCCCTATGGAGGTAACCTGGCAATCTCTGGAGACCGTTTTGTCACAGCTTTAGGAAATGCTATGGGCATGTAGGGTGTCAAGGCCAGCGATGCAGCTATAGACATCCTACAATGCAAAAACAACCTTTCCCAATAGACACTTACCTGGTACAAAATAGTGCCTGTTATGTTGTGCAACTCTGTTCTAGTTCACAGTTTTAAACCACTTTATATACAGATGACTGAATTGATGATGTGTATGCTCAGCTCTAACCATCTCTCTAATTTGTAGAAACACCTGTCTACTCATTTCACCTGTTTGGCTATCTAAATAGGCAATTCAAACATGACTTCTGGCACACAACTCTTTATCTCTCCCCCAAATTTCCATCTTGGTCAATGACACCAGGTTGGCCATAACCCTAAACATCATCCTTCACTCTCCTCTGTCCTCAAGTGGCACCCCAGACCATCAGTAAGCCTTGTGATGCTCTCCTCAAAACATATCCTGAAGCCAGTCACTTCACACTCCACTCAGACAGACATAGCTTCCCAAGCCTCCACAGCCTTGACTAGGCTTCTGCAGGAGCGTTCGAGTCTCTCCTTGCTTCCACTCTTAATGCTTGAAAGCCTATTCTCCACATAACATCCAGGGCTACTGTTGTTTTGTTTTGTTTTGTTTTGTTTTGTTTTGTTTTGTTTTGTTTT